AGTTGTCTAAGATGATAATCGCAAAATTCTTCTAATTGCTTTCGCCTTTGTTGAATGTGAAGATACATATTCTAAACCAGCTGCGGTGGCATCTGAACCAGCTGCGGTGACAACTGAAATGGATGTGGTGTTATCTGAAATGGTTGTGGTTCTATCTAAACCGACAATGTACCCATGTATAGTGGCGGGTTGGGAATGTAAACTAGTGTAGATGGTGGCTGTTGTGATGGTTCCATTCCTTCAGCTGAGGACAAGCCGAAAGTGTAAGTTTTCCATCCATAAATTAAGGGACGATGATGTTGTGACGGTGGACGATTTTCTCGATATCAATGAATGCTCCTCCCTCTTGTTTCTTCAAAAATTAAGAATGGCTTCCCGTTCGTGTTGAAACACTGATAATAGTCATCCACAAACGAATAATGATCACATAAATCGGCTCCCTGGGGGAATGCATCCACGTCAATCCTCCCAGATCATTATCCACTCGTTGTGCTTCATTAATCAGTTGACATCCTTTTTGCCCCTTCTATCGACATTATGCATTTTGTCGAGATTCCTAGGTGTTTTAGGAATATATTATATGAAACCAAATTAACAGAACACGCGATCTATAGGATACCACTTGACAATAGCATAACATATTAGAGGAACCACCGCCATTCATACATTTACTAAGCCAATAAAGTGAGGTGGGATGCAAAGCCTCATTTCTTTAGTAGAATAAGGAGCCCATTAAAACTAATATATATATATAATTATTATCAAAATAATATTCTAATTATATAACGATAATTAAAGATAAATAATAAAATTTAAATACATACTTCTGTACCAGCCTTTTGATCAATGAGTAGTCGAATTTCTTCCAATTCGTATGATATATCACGATGATTTTTCCTTGTACATGATCACCTATTCAATGTAAAAAATATTTCATTATATACTCAAAAAATTATTTATATACGAGCCTCAGTATTGAAATTACCTCAACAATAACGAGAAGACTATCGGGTTATTCACGACCAAACATAAAAAGGGTATGCAATACCACACCCTTGATTGGAGAAGAAGGAGACATCTATCGATAGTATTTTTTTCGATAATCAGTTGCCCAACATATTTCTCTATACAGAAATGCCAAAATTGCAGAGCCCCAATTGAGTGCGCTGGTAACGTGAAAATCTTCGAGGTGACTCAACCACATACAATGAACTTGGTTGCGAGATTTATCGGGCAAATACGCAAGCCGAGCAAATATTTTAGCTTGTTCCTCATATCAGTCTTCACTCAAATGTTGAAAATCTATTTTCAACCATGATAACAGTATTCGACCACTGTTGGAATTAATCGGGACACCTCTAAGATACTCATGGCATAAGGAATGCCAATCACTATCCGCCACACCAAAAATAACGTCCTCAGCTATCGAAAGCCCCAACTATATGAAAACATCCTCCAACGTAATAGTACACTACCCACACAGAAGATGGAATGTGTCTGTCTCTGGTCTCCACTCTCAATTAGTGCAGAAATAAGGTCGGGTTTAAGTTTACAGTGCCATTCATATTTCGCTATGTAACCAAATCTAGCCTCGACTAAATAAATCCAGACATGATGTGATATCTCTAACATAGCGTTACGAATAAATGAATCTAATATACGGTCATTCCCCTAATTAAATAAATAGTATACAAATTAAAATATAAACTAATACTAAAAAATTAAATAAATAAAACATTCACAATAATTAAAATAACACAATTTAAACTTGTTACTATATCAACAAAATGACTTACGATATGATTCTCATCTAAACACAACAACTCGCTTTCCATTTTATAATTGCAAAAAGTAATAAAAAATTAATAAATAAAATATAATAAAATAATAAACTATTAAATGATTATAATATAATAAAAAAATTCTTCTAAAACTATAACAAAACCTACTTAAAGCTTGATAGAAGAAAGGAATAGAATATTTTTAGTATGGTTTGGGTGTTGTATGAGGGGGTATTTATAAGGGGAGAGGGATAGGTGGTTGGCCGATATTAAAAGATGGTAGGTGGTATTAATGTGGAAGGCACAATTCCTGTAACGTGCCTTCATACAGTTGTCAGAATTCCCCGCGAAGGTGCATCCCTGGGGACATGCCTTCCCATCATGGCGCCACCTCGGATAAAATCCATGAAAGGCATGGTTCTTGTAACGCGCATTCCCTCCACATTTGCAAGGCGCCGTCCCTGCCACACGTCTTATTATCACTCTGTCAGAAAGGGTACTAGATCGATAATATTTGGAGAAATGGTGCCTGATAGGTAATATTATATAATTTGGGTATTTTTGGGTAAAAACTCCCAAATAATATCAGATCTAGAAATAATATTATTTTTATCCTGTAAGATAAAAATGTTTTCAGCTGGTCAATCTTTATCCTACGTGGCAAGGTGTACAAGAATATTATTTTTTAAATAATTCATTATAAAATAATTGATATTAAATTAATTTGTTTTCGTAAGTATATACACTTCTGTTTGATAAATACTTGATTATATTATAAAAGATAAAAATATAATTTTTTCACATTAGAATTGTTGAGTTCGATATTTATAATGAAAGAGAAAATATTAATCATTCCACTCACGGATGACGAATTGATCTATGTCAATTAGTTCTACAGTGTGATCATCATAGATTATACATCGAATTTCTTCATATTAGACAATTTCAACATGATCATCATTATAATCATCACTAGTAATTTATCCATCATCACCGTGTACTAATGTGGTATATTGGTTTATTGATGCGCCTTAGTCATGCATTGATGAGTGATAAATGTGAAGAATAATAATTACATGAGATATCCTATCAATAATCTCACCACTAAATGGAATCAACAAAACTTTGAGGAATGTCATCAATAAATATGAGGTTGTTAATTGATATTTAAAGATAGAAGAGTAGTTTTAGTTAATATTGACGCATATGTAGCATCCGTCATGTCTGATAGTATTGGAGTATAAAATTTTGAATAGGACTCGATTTGTGATAACCCTCTAAAAGAGTTATCATATATGTTCTTTTTACCTAGTTTTAGTTTGAACTTAAACATTATTAGGAACATATTAGGATCTTTTGTACATAATTTTATACATATTGCATCATGAGAGCTGGTTAAGTAACTTTGGGCTAAATATGATATTTATTGCTGAAATCTGATACACTGATGTTGCAGTATTATGCTATGTTATAGGTGATGCTGTGAAGAAATGTTGACATGGTCCCTGTGTATAGCTGAAAGCAACTGTTGAGTCACAGTAGGTTAATAGAATTTTCTGGAATGGGACAACTAGTAGAGAAACTGTCAATTAGCTGAAATTCACCTAAAATGTGGAATATTTTCATTGGGTGGTGGTCGATTTATTTAGCCTATAAACATGAGAGGCCTTCACACCACTTGAGCATCTGATTTTTTATCTCTAAAAATTCTCTCTACCTATTTTATCACCGATCAACCATGGCTGCCTGATTTCATTGCTAGGACGTGCTGCAACAGCTGACAACATTACAATGTAGCAGTGGTGATTGAAAAGTTCCATTTCAATCTTCGTTACTTCATTGAGACAGGGAAGTAGCCAGTTAGATTTGGATGTTTACTTAAATGTTTGGATGTTATTTTGTTATGGACATCATGTGTTTGTTTAAATGCTTTTTATTATGATTTATGTTTTTACTTTTATTTCATGTGTTGTCGAACTTCTTTAGATGTTTTTAGGAATGATACCATCTTTATGTATGTTCTATCTATGATATTTTGAAATGAATATTTTGGATATTGCAACAACTTATGTCCAACATTGTTATTTGTGAAAAAAAAGTTAGTATATTGAGATGTATAATGCCAATGTTATGAATTGTTAATTGTTTGATTACTTGAGTTAATGAAGGTTAATTCCTACTAATTAGATATTATTAATCTTTTCGTAACGCATGAATATAAGGTTCTATGAATGATCATAATGAAAACTGCCAAATATCATTAGCATCCATTTTATCCTTGATCTCTTCAATATGTTGTAACACTACCCGACATTCACCATTCTGATTTAATTGTTTGTTGTTCATATTTTATTTCACCCTTGCAACCAATACTTCTTCAAACTTGTCACACAGCTCTTTTTTAACCTATTTTGCTCTATGCGGTTTAACGTACGAAGCTTTCAAAGCTTCCACATTATTAATTGAATACGATAGTGTATGCTTGCACTTTATTGTAGCATTATCATAACATCAAGTTTTTGGCGCCATTGTCGGGAAGCAATGGTTTTGTATTAGAGTTATCTTTTCATTTATTTACTTGTTTATTTTCATTCGTTGGTACCTATTTCCTTTCTTAGCTTAGTGTTGCTGGTGTATGACTACAAAAATGACGACAAATTAGAACTATTTGATCCTGAAATTGAACAAACATTTTATAGTCATAGAAGAGAAGTGAATCATGATTAAGAAAACATGAATGTTGGACATGGTAAAAATATTTTTTCGCCATTATAACACGATGAAGACAATGAGTTGTCAGGTGGAAATGAAGTTAACCAGTTATAATATTATAATATTGTTGATCGCAACTGGTGATCAGGGAACACGATGTACCAAAACTGGATGGCTTAAATCATGGCATCGTCCGACCAACCATTCATGTTGTCCATTTTGAACTAAAGTCTGTGACGTTCCAGATGCTGCAGTCAATGGGGGCAATATAGCAGTTCAATTACTGAATATCCTAGATCACATTTCAAAGCATTCATGAAGGTGTGTAACTCGTTTGTACAATAAGGAGTACCTGAGGAAGCATTGAAACTGAAATTGTTTCTATACTCGCTCTGTGACAAAAGCTAGAACATGGCTTAACTTACTACCGCCTAGTGTTATAGCATTATGGAATGAGTTAGCACAAAATTTTTTTGCTGAGATTTAATCTACCCAATATGAATGCCAAGCCGAAGAATGACTTAATCTTTTAACCAGTTGGATGATGCAAATTTATATGAGACATGGGAACTTTTCAAGGACTTATTATGTAAATGCCCAATGCATGGATTTCCACATTGGACGCAAATAAGATGTTTTATAATAGCTTGAATATGCAAACTCGTATGGTTATTGATGCTTCTGCTAATGGAGCATTGTTGGATAAGACCTATAATGAGGCTTATGATATTTTAGAAAAAATATCGAATAATGATTATTAATACCCCAACACAAGGAATATATTTGGCAGATGCAATGCTGCAACAATGGATAGTGATGCCTTCAATTCAATGGCTTCACAAATCACATCATTGATAGATATGGTAAAGAAATTGAAAAAACTGGGGGTATATATGAGGTAAAAACTGCATCTCTTTCAAGTGTTTATTGTGGTAATGATCATAACTATGAGGAATGCCCACAAAACCCCAAGTACTACGTGAGAAATTAAAATAGGCATGACAATGCCTATGCGTATGGTAACACGTATAATTCCAACTTATGTAACCATCCCAATTTATCTTGGAGAATAAAAAATGTTTCAAATCCCAATATGTTGTTTCAATCAAATACACAACAGTATTACAACCACCAGTAGAGAATGCCCTAGTATTAGTCACAACAACAAGTAGCAATGTCACAACAACGTTAAAACTATCCAGGACTACATTCAAACAAAACCTCATCCTCAACATCTCTTGAATCTTGGTTGAAAGAATTTATGTCAAGAACCGAGGTAACAATCCTAAGTTAATCAACATCGCTGAAGGCATTGAAAAATCAAGTGGATAATTGGCGAACACAATAAGCAATAGGTAGCAAGAGACACTACCTAGTGACACCAAAAATCTAAAGCCTTTGCAATAAGCATTGTAAAGCCGTCACTACAAGAAGTGTCCTTCACATTGGGAAGCCTACGCTGAGCTTAAAAAGAAAGATTATGAGAGGCTTGAACAATAAGACAAAAGCAAAGAAATGGAAATGGACTTTGAGCCATAAGATGTGGATGCTGCAGCAAAGAAGATGGGATAATGTAGTAATTCTAGGCCATTGCTAACAGCAACACCAACAACACTACCACTTGTAGTTCCTCCAATATGAGGCAGCCAAATCCAAGACCTCCACAACCATTTCCCTAAAGATTTAAGAAGATAAAAGAGGACCAGTAGTACAAAGAATTCACTGATGTTCTTAGGCAATTGACAATTAATATTCTGTTGATTGAAGCATTGAAGTAAAATTTGAACTACGTCAAATTCATGTGAGAAGTTCTTTAAAAAGAAAGCGAAGGCTTGGCGAATTTGAAAATGTCGCACTCACTGAAGGATGCAGTGCTTTGGCAATAAGTCGATTACCTCCTAAACTCAAAGATCTAGGGAGTTTCACTATTCATTGTATTATTGGTAATCAATTTGTAGGAAAAACATAATATGATTTAGGTGTTAGCATTAATATGATGCCATTGTCAATTTTTAGAAACTTTGGAAGTGGAGAAGTAAGGATCACCACTGTGACTTCTGTTGGCCGGTCCACCGTACATCCTAGTGGCATTGTTGAGAACATGCTAGTTAGAGTGGACAAGTTTATTTTTCCCATCGATTTTATCAAAATTGGATTGCGAAGCCGACGAGGATATCCCAATTATACTTAGACGACTATTCCTTACCACCGACTGAGCTTTAATAGATGTTGAAGAAGAAGAACTTACTATGTGCTTAAATGATGAACACATTATGTTTAATGTTTTGAATAATATTTCATATATTGATGAAAATATTGAATGCTATTCAATTTATGTGATTGATGTTTTTATGTAGTAGCAATTAGATGAATACAACAATATGAATGTTGTTAGCGGTGCTATAATAATAGAGGAGCTAACCAAGAATGACAAAATTGAAGAAAATTACATGCAACACTTTGAATCATTTGAATTTTCCAACCGAACTATTCATCCTCCTAAACCTTCAATTGAATAACCACCCATACTTAAATTGAAACCTTTGCCCGAGGATCTTAAGTATGCTTTCTTGGAAATAATAAGATGTTGCATGTTATTATTTCAACAAAGCTCGAAGCATCATAAGAAGATAAGTTGATTATTATTTTGTAACAACATAGACAAGCAATTGTGTAGAGCATTGATGATATTAGAGGCATTAATCGAGCCGTGTGTATACACAAAATACTATTAGAAGACCCCATCAACAATTATATTAAGATAAAAAGAAGACTGAATCTGATATGAAGGAAATGATTAAAAAATAAATCATCAAATGGTTAGATGTTGGGATTATATATCTCATTTCTGACAGCAACTAGGTAAGCCCTGTGTAATTTGTTCCGAAGAAGGGTCGTAGTCTCCAATGAAAAGAATGAGTTAGTGCAACATGCACTACTACCAAATAGAGAATTTGTATGGACTATATGAAGCTAAATAAAGGCACAAGGAATTATCACTTCACGCTATCGTTAATTGATCAAATGCTAGATCAGTTTGCTGGCAAAACTTTCTATTGTATTCTCGATGGGTATAGTGGATATAATCAAATAACTATAGCTTTTGAAGAACAAGAGAAGGCTACCTTCACATGTTCATAGGTACTTTTGCTTTTCGATGAATGCTATTCAGTTTATGCAATGCTCGAATGACATACTATCGATGTATGCTAGAAATATTCTCCGATATGATTCAAGATTACTTGGAAGTATTTATAGATGACTTCTTTATTTTTGGACAATATTTTGATCAATGCCTCAACAATTTGGTTGTCTAGCTAAAATGATTTGAAGAGACCAATTTGATTTTAAATTGAGAAAATTGTCATTTCATGGTAATCAGGGGAATAATGCTAGGACATCGCATTTCTCATCGTAGTATTGAAGTGGAAAAAGATAAAGTAGAAATCATTGAGAAGTTGTCACCGCCAACTAATGTGAAATCAGTAAGGAATTTTCTTGGCCATGCTAGATTCTATCGAATATTCATCAATTATTTTTCTCAAATTGCTAGACCATTGTGTTCATTAATGGATCAAAATAGTAAATTCATTTTTTATGATGAGGTGATGTAGTCTTTCAAAATGATCAAGCTAAAACTAGTTAATGCTCCTATTGTAGTGTCACCCGATTGAAATCTCTCATTTAAGCTAATGTGTGATACTAATGACCACACTATTTGTATAGTGCTAGGGAAAAGGAAAGGAAATGTTTTCCATGTTGTACATTATACTAGCAGAACATTAAATGATGCTTAACTCAACTACAACACAACCGAGAAGGAATTGCTTGATGTTGTGTTTGCTTTTGATAAATTTCGATCTTACCATGTTAGAACCAAGGTCATTGTGTACACTGACCATTCGGTTTGGAAGCTTTTTTTTTCCTAAGAATGATATCAACCAAGATTAATCCAATGGGTATTGCTACTCCAAGAATTTGAAATTGAAGTTTGAGACAAGAAAGGATTCGAAAACCAAGTTACTGACCATTTATCCCGTTTAGAATCTGGTAGTAAAGATAGAACAATATTAGTGATTCCTAATGCTTTTCCTGATGAAAAATTACTTGCCATTAAGGCTTTACCTTGGTATGTGGATTTTGTTAATAATTTAGTAAGTGGTTTGTTTCCACTTGATCTCAATCGTCAAAGTAAAAAATTTCTTACGAGATGTTACAACATATAATTGAGAAGAGCCTTACCTCTTCAAGAAATACAACAATCAAATTTTACGAAGGCGCGTCCCCGAATATGAGCAACAAAGCATTTTGGATCATTGTCACGATGCACCTTATGGGGTCATTTTGTAATCATGCGTACAACAACAAACATTCTTCAATGTGGTTACCATTAGCCTTCGCTATTCAAGGATACCAACAATTATATCAAGCATTGTGATCGTTGTCAAAGAACTGGCAACATTTCATGTCGCAATGAAATGCCTATGCATCATTTACTAGAAATTGAATTTTTCAATGTTTGGGGGTTGGATTTCATAAGAACTTATCCTTTATCTTGTGGTAATATTTTTATTCTATTTGTTGTTGGCTATGTGTCCAAGTGGGTTGAAGTTTTAGCATTACCTTCAAGTGATGCTAAGGTTTTTTTTTTAGGTTTGTCCATAAGAATATTTTCACTCTCTTTAGACCACCAAGATCATTTATTAGTGATGAAGGTTCTCAATTTGTTGGTAAACAAATTGCTAATGCTTTGCAACTTTATGGAGTGAAGCATCGTATTTCTACAACATACCATCCTCAAACAAATGGTCAAGTTGAGGTTTCTAATCATAAGATAAAGTAAATTATGGAAAAAGTTATAAATCCTTCAAGAAATGATTGGTCTCTACGCCTTGATGAAATACTATGGGCGTATATGAAAACTTACAAACCCCGTTGGGCATGTCTCCCTATTGTCTTGTGTATGGTGAAGCTTGTTATTTACCTGTGGAGCTAGAACACAAAGCAATGTGGGCTTTAAGAGACTATCTTTAACTCGATGTTGCTGAAAAAAAAAACGAATGTTGGATCTCAATGAATTAGAAGAGCTTTGAAATGATGCTTACGAGTGCTAGAATTTATAAGGATACAAGCAAGCAATGGCATGACAAACATATTTTGAAAATGTTGTGGACATGTGTTATTATTCAACTCTTATTTAAAGCTATTTTATGGGAATATTCGATCTAGATGGCCTGGTCCATTTGAAGTGCTGGAAGTTTTTCCTCATAGAGATGTGTTGTTAAAGAACTTGTTGATGGAAATACATTTAAAGATAATGGACGTTTGAAGCATTATTTCCAACATCAAACCCCTCACATCGCTTCAATGACACTAAGCGACCCTTTTTTTTAATTTCTTATAGCTTTCAATAAGTCAACTTTCGCACTAGATTAGTTAGATTAAATTATAATTTTAGTTTCTTTATATTTTCTGTTTAGAGGATGCTTCAACATTGGCTGCTCCATTTATGATTTGTATTTCACATGTGTTGCACAACAATTGTCACTGTTGTGCACGTTTGATGCTACACGGAGTGCTAGCAGCAACTGCCAGATGGAGTGGTAAAATT